TTTCCCCTCCAAGGATATTTGATTAAGAAAATCAGTATGAGAGGACAACATGTTGAGGTATCTAAAGCTGGCTTTGTGTTTAACAGGAGATGCAGAAATGGTGATGAATAAAGGTCTATGGTCAGATCTTGTCATACTGAGATGTTGGACAGAGGCGTGTAAAAATTCATTCAGCCATAAGGAATTAACTAGGATTTTATCCAATCTTTCCCAAACAGGTCCTCTCTTCCAAGTAAACTTGGGTCTAGTGAAACCAAGATCAAATAAGCCAGCCAAGCTGATGTTGTCATTAAAGGGATTCATAGAATTAGAATTAGGAGGATTGCCTCATCATTTTTCGTAACTTGGAATACATCTACTCAAAGGCAGAACTAGGAAAACACAATTCCAGGATGTCATTGATCCCACAACTCCACTTTGGCTGTAGGAGAGCTTCCAGCATAGATAAAGGTAGTAAGGCCATCTTAATCACCAAAGTTAAATTTAATATGAAGGAATTGTGGATGATCCCATAAGACTTGACACATAACTTCTTTTCTATGTAATAACCAAATCTTATTGTTCAGATTAGATAAATAAGAAAAGCTAGAGAATTTTTTGAGGATTTTTTGAGGATATTTTGACAAAATAGCAATAAACCAGAATTTATACATCCTATTCAAAGCACTGAGTCTGTTAAGGGATTTAGGATGTGCCAATCCCCCAACATTCCAACACAATAGGTTCATCATCCAAAGGAGATGGATTTTCCCCTCCTTTTAGAGCTGTCCATGGCCTCCTTGGTTTCCAAATGAATATTTCTATCTCTAAGTAAATAAGTTCCTCCCTTCACATTGTCAAACTCCTGGGTGGCCTTTTTCTTTTTTTTTATTTTTTGAGTTTGCCAATCATCAGCCAATGCGGTCTGTAGTACCTCCACTAAAGTGGAGTCCACTGGAAAATCTTTTTGAACCACCTCACCAACATCCAACTGAGAGTTCAGGGGCTCTGGGTCAGAGGTTGCAAGGGCAGTATCTTCACAGGTTGTGATCTGTATTGCAGATGGTTCAAGGTGACATATTGAAGGGCCAATAGCCTCCTTGGGTAAATTTTTAGTCACAACAAATAAGGAATGCTCAGTACAATCCATGTTTATTTGATTGTCTACTATTTCAGTCTCAATGGCCACATCAGCCTTGATAGCCAAGATAGTGTCATCAGGACCATGGGCATTCCTCTCAGAAATGGTATCACCAGAACTCTTATCAGATATAGCCCTTTCTTTCTCAGACATAACAGCATCTTTTGAGGCCCCATGATGAGCGATCCTTAGGTGAGGATGTAGTTTAAAACACTTATTGCCAGTGTACCCAAACATGCAATAACGGAAACATTAGTAGGGCCTCTGTTCAGCAATGATTCTCTGCCAATACCCATTATGTTAAGTTCTCAACCATATTTCATCAATAGTTGGAAGAGTAAGGTCCCTTTCCACCAAGATTATGGCCACTGATGGTCTTGATAAATTAAAAGTTGGAACATCCAATTTAAGAGGGTTACTAAAGGCTTGTCCAATGTTAAACAGAACTTTATGGTTGAAAAATGGAGCTTTAGCCCAGGGAGCTTGAACCAAATAGGAACTATAGGAGGTTCCTTACCTGGATCAAAATCAGTAGACCACTTTAAGATTTTCATAGTGTTTCCCTATATCTATAAGATTTGTTAAGAAAATACTCTAGCATAATCATCTTCTCTAGTTAAAAAAATGAGAATGTGTCTGCCATCAATAAGGCCCACTCTCCAGGCTCCTTTAAGTTTGATGCCATCAAAATACTTTCTAATGGCTTCCATTTTGGCATGACCAAGCTGAAATTTGCCAATTAGAGTGAATTTGCAGTTTTTAGTCAAGTTATTAATATCTTCCTCATTATAAATAATAGCCATTTTACAACTTTTCCTACTCAAGGGTTTAATGAAGGGGTCAGCGACCTCATG